ACAGTTAACATTATTAACTGGTCAGAACACTGATGTGTATCAATCAAAGTAGAAGAATATACATGTAGGATCTCTTGGCAAAATGAATAAAATGGACCTTGTTTATCCACTGCACTTAATGCAAGGCTTGTGAAGGATGCAGCAAATAAAAATGGAGTTCTGTAACTTTTTGTTGGAAAGATGTATACATGTCATGCTTTATTTAGGCTCCATATTTTGAAGTTTGGAAGTGTCTTTTGGAATCAAAACATTTGATGCTGTTAAGTGTAATTGGTTGTGGTTTTAACTTCCTCTTTCTTGGGTTTTTCTTCAGCATGCCTTCCTTAAGCAATTTTATGCTTCTGTTACGAAATCAGATTATGCAACGTTACGGCTTGGTTTCATTATGGTAAGCCATCTAAGATTCACTGTGAATGTATATTTGACTTTCATTCTCTGACCTCTTAATAATCGTTTCACTGCTGTAGACACACTGCAGGGGGAACCCCAAGTTTAATTTTCACAAATACATGATACGAGCCCTGGAAGACGATTTCAAGCATGTTGTTGGTATCAGGTAAGTAGTGTTCAGAAGTTCTCTTTTATACTTAGCTGCAGGGGCTTGCTCGACTGTAGTTGTGCTAATTGTGATACACTTCTAGCTGTCATTTTTTCCCCAGCTCTTCTTCTCTCATTTTTATAATCTTTTGTTGCAGTTGGTATCTTTGGATCTTCGTGGTTGTCTTCTTGTTCCTTAATGTTAGTGGTATGGTACTTCTTTGATTAGTTAATATGTGTCATTTCTTTATATTTAATACCAAACAATGACTACAAGTTGTTAGTGTCTTCAAATATGTTATCATTGGATCCATTGTATTAATTTTCGAGGCATCAAAGTTCTCGCTCCTTGAATTATGCTCATATCCCACCCAGTGATGTTTGAGGAGGCTTCACCCACCTCAAGGCCAAGCCAACTCTGAAGGGCATGGGTTTGAAATTGTCAAGTTAACTATTTGGAGGTTTGAACCTAGAATTGGAGGGTATCTCCAAACGTCCTAAGCTCTTACCACCATTAAACCCAAAATCTCGGACCATATCTCAAAATATTCTGACGCCCTTGCCGCTACCATGAGAGCCACCCCTTATCACTATTCTATTCTATTCAGATAAAACCCTTTTCAAATAATTGCTACATGGAAGTTCTGTACTTGCTCTTTATATATTAGGATGAAGTTCCATCTTATTATCCACAATAAAGATATTAACTTTAATCATTATTTCCTATTTACACGTGCAGGTTGGCATACATATTTCTGGATAGCATTCATTCCTTTCGTTGTAAGTAATCTTTTTAACATCCCTCACCAATTTTCTGCTTGAAAGCATGTTTGAGTCCAAATATTTGGACGCTCTTACCAGTATCTAAGCTGCCACCATGAGCCACCCCTTATCACTATCCTATCCCATGGTGGTCCTACCTAGTATTTAAAATTCTTTCCGTTTCCTTGTCAACCAAATGTACTAGGATCATGTAATTGTCTTTTGAAGTCATAGTGTTCGTAAATTCTCCAAAAACACTTAGAAATATAAAAAGAAAAAAGAAGAAACTTTGTATCAAGGAGGTTTGTAGATGACAATGGTAAGATTAAGTGGTGGTTTTTCTAGAGTAATGTCTCTGGAATTGAAAATAGAGATCATATTGATGACTTCCACAGTCAGAAAATGTAAGAAATACCTTTTACTTACAATGACCGGTATGCCTTTAGTATCCTAATAATATCTTTGCAACTTCCTTGGTAGTATTCTTAACAATCTCCTAGGAGTCTATCTTGTGTTGAAGCAAGTCGACTTTAAATAGAACCTCCCAACAGCTTTTTAAAAGAAGAACAATGTTAAGAATGTCGTTGGGGTAAACGCTTGAAATATTATTGGGATATTAAGGGCATATTAGTTAAGTTTGGAGAGAAGCGATTATAGATAGAGTGGATTGGAGGGGTTTAAAGGAGATGAAAACTTTGGATAGTTTTGTGGGTGGGAGAGAGCCATCTCAAAAGGCTATCACCCGTGTGTTTTTTCTCTTTGATATTGTTATTCTATTTCAATCCTGTTTTCTCACGTTCCAATCTCAAGATCGGTCCCTATCAAACAATTGATAATAAATTTTATTTTGTTCAGCTTCTGCTTGCTGTGGGAACGAAGCTGGAACATGTGATAACCCAACTGGCTCATGAGGTTGCAGAGAAGCATGTAGCAATTGAAGGTGATCTAGTAGTCCAACCATCCGATGATCACTTTTGGTTTCAGAGACCCCGTTTTGTTCTCTTCTTGATCCACTTTATACTTTTCCAAAACGCTTTCGAGATCGGTTTTTTCTTCTGGATATGGGTAAGCAGCAAGCTGACTTTATTTGTTGGTGATCATTTTTTGTTTATTTGAGGCTCAAATTCATGATGCTTGCTTGATATGTTTCCAGGTTCAATATGGCTTCGACTCCTGCATCATGGGACAAGTCCGCTATATCGTTCCGAGGCTTATTATTGGGTAAAGCAGAAACTCCAGATTTTGCTTTTTCTCCTAATAATTACTTCATTTTGATCACTAATTTCCCATTAAATATATTGTCTGGATCAGGGTGTTTGTTCAGGTTCTTTGCAGTTACAGCACCCTACCACTCTATGCCATTGTCACACAGGTTAGTCATGATGGGTTATTATAAGATTGTGATAGTAAAAAATTTTAAGGTCGTGTTTGGGTGAGGGTTTGGATTTAGGTGGTTTGACTTAGGATGCCGAACTCATGTTTCTCCCGTGAGTTTGTTAAGTCTGGTGTCTATTAACAAAACCAGAGGTTTCGACCGTACTATAAATCTACTCTCCTCAAAGTCACCTGCTCGCAGTTTTTCTAAGTCTAGGCTTGC